AACAGGCTGGGACAGCAACATTCCTAGAACTTCGCAAGTCTGAGCATCTGGGATGGGGTTAATCTCAGTTGAATATTTGTTGTCTATTTCTCTCCCTCGAGCCCTCCCCCTGCTGCCCTCCCATAAGGGGTGTTGCACCCAGAATAAATGTTTTACCCAGAGTGCAGGCTATTACATAGGAAAGCTGCCCTGTTCTAACAGAACTTCTAGTTATGTTAAAGCACATTATAAACAGCAAAGTCTTTTTCAAAAATGAGTTGTTGCAGAAGCAATTGAGATTGAGGACATCTTTGGGAAGGGGCATAGTGAGTAGGACTTGAAAAATAAATTGTGGGCTCCTTCACTTGTGCTCCTGACTCCCCTGGCCTTCTTTTCCCACTTCCAGTTTTTTCCCCCTCAAAGATGCTTATTCTTTGTCTAGACATTTTCATTTCTTTCCCAGTCAACCCAAACCACCCTTCATTTACAAATCACCTTCTTCAGGAAGGCTCCTGAAATCATTCCCACCTCATTCTCCTATTTGTCAACATAATCCTCAACCCACTCTTCTCCCCTCAGTGCACCTTTACAATTTGGTAATAACAGATTTGGACTGATGATAGAGACACCCTATCTACTTTATCACACTCCCTAATTTGGTTATGGCAGATTTTGGTTGATGATATACATTCCCTCCCTTCTCACACTGCCTAAACACCCTGTGCGACCTATCTCTCCCCTTGATGGCTCCTAAAGACTGTAACTTTTTCAAATGATGGGGATGTTACTGATAAGTAAACCAGAAGTAAACAAAAAGAGAAGGGGAAAAAAAGGACGCGGAGGGAAAGAAGCAAGGGCTAAAGTCTGTCCCACCTCCAGCTTGCCGCGGGACCATGCTTGGGCATTAAGCTGCAACATTCCACAACTAGTAGATATCCTGGAAGGAGTTGGAAAAGGGTGGGGACAGTTATGTGGGAGGAACCTATATAAAGATGGGGTACTAAGAGACAGACAGGATCTAGTCACGGTCAGCTGGAGCAGGCCAAGCCACGCCACACACCAAAACTCACCTCCACCCATCCAGCTCCTTGGAGATAGAAAGGATCAAGCATAGAGTTATTAGGGATTCTTTCGAGGGAGGGAGAAAGTCTTGAGAAATGAGACATTTCCTGGCAGTGTCTATCTCCAAAGGCCTTTTCCCTGTACTACATGTCCTAGAACAATTAGCTGTGAACTCATGGTAACCAAGATATAAGGCTGACCTGAAACTATGTTAGCAGGAATCCTCGTCATCTGGTTATAGGAGGCAAGTGACAATTACATATACCATGAGCTTCTTGAGCCAGATGAATGCCATGTTTCATATTCCGTGAGCACCCCAGGAGGGTACCTGGCACTGCCAATGAGGAATGACTATTGATTGAGAAGGATATAAATGTCTTTGGCATTTAGAAAATCTAAGCAGAGTCAGTCAAAAGACTCTTTCCCTTTGCCCATTTGGTGATAGGCAAGTCTATTCAGTAAGATCTCCTGTGTGCCAGGCACTGTTTTAGGTACAGGGAAAACAGCAGACACACAAAGGCTAGATTCCGGTTCCTGTAAAGGTGATCCTATTGAATAGAAATATATCAAAACAGATAAATAGATCATTTCTCATACTGATAAGTACCAGAAGACACTACCTTTGAGTAGAGACAGCGCATGCCTTGGAGGATACTTGAGATACACAATACTGAAAGAAATCCTCTTTGAATATGGTCCTTTGAGCATATTTCTTGAGTTGGGACCCAAGAAAATGTGAGAAGATGGAGACAACCATGTGACGCTCTGGAGGAAGAGACGTTCAAGCAGAAAGAAAAGCAAGTGCAAAGGCCTGGCAGCGAGATCAGCCTGAGCATGCATGGGAACACAAAGCACAACGCACAGAGGCTGGAGCACAAGTGCTGAAATGGGGAGGGGCAGGTGCACCTGCACATGGCCTCAAGTAGCCCTCTCCCCTTAGTTAATCATTAGAATCACCTGTAATGCACTTAAAATTCCTGAGGCCTGGGACTCATCCCCAGAGACTGTTTATTTGATCTGGATCTTTCCTGATTACCAGGATTTTAAAATTCCCCAGAGGATTTCTAATGTGCAACCAAGGATGAGAGCTGCTGAGAAGACCTGGAGGGTCACAGCAAGGGACTTGGATTGGTGACAATATAAGGCTCCCAAAGAGACTCAGAGTCACTTCTCCAATATGCCAGGCCCAGATCCAGAAGAGACCCAATTCTAAGAGATGTTGGGTAGGTTGGGGGAGGGAGCCAAGAAAATGATGCAATTCAGAAGAAAAGAGGCAAAAGGGAGTGGACAAGAAGACAGGGAAATCCAAAAATACAAAAAATTGAAAGGGGTAAAAACAAACACAGACAATCCAAGAAAGCCAGAGGAAGAAAGGGAAAGCATGTATATTCATTTCCTATCTGTTGCTGTAACAAATTATATAAACTTACATTTGAAATATGTGAAATGACATACATGTATTAACTTTGGTGACCATTATCCTGCCTACCATAGCATGGAAGTTCTGTGGTTTAGAAATCTGAGATGGGTCTTTTTTTTTTTTTAAAGATTTATTTATTTATGCATACAAAAACTGGGGTATAGGCCAGAGGTGTGTGTGGAGGGTGAGAGGATTCACCACAGACAGGGTGGGGAACAGTACAGGCAGATCTACTGAAACATGCTGCTAAGGGGAACAGCAGGTGAGACAGAAGAGGTCTGATGCACAATGTGGGTGGTAGCTCCCTGGCCGGGGATCGAACTTGTGCTGCAGTGGCTCCAGATAGCTTCATAGGTTGCATCTTAACCCCTTGCGCCACCAGGGAGGCCCCTGAGATGTGTCTTTCTGAGCTAAAATCAAGGTGTGAGCAGGACTGGCTTTCTTCTGGGTGTGCTAGTGGAGACAGCATAGCTTGCCTTTTGCAGTTTCAGAGACCACCACTTTTTTGCTCATTATCCCCTTTCTTGGTCTTCAACATTACCAGGGTCAGGCTGTGCATTTATGTTTCTTGTGATTACACTGGACCCACTTAGATAATTTAGAATAATTTCCCTACTTTAAACTCAGCAGATTAACAACCTTAATTCCATCAGCAAACAACTCTACCATGTAAGGTGACTGGTTGAAGAGGGAGGCCATCCCGGGAGAGGGGCAGAAGCGATTCGGAAAGTTAATGCGGGAGGCGGAGAGAGGGGCAGGTTCCAGGATTTAGACTATGGACACATTCAGGGACCATTATTCTGCTTACTATAGCATGGAAGTCCATCTTCTAAAAAAAATAAATGTCAGTCATATCTGTAGTCTTTTACTTGGGTAACCACACATTTCATGCACATGGAGCTGGGCGGTTTGTTCCAACATGTGTGTACATGTGTTTATTTGTGTAGGTTTGTTTATTGGGGTGTCATATTTGAGTGTCTCCCTGATAAGTATGGGGGGAGAAGGATGCCTGGAGGGGGTGCCTAATAAACTACTGCTGCTCCATAAAGACTCACTGCTATTGTAGTGTTGTTCTCATTGACAGTAAAAATAATGACAGAGTGTCTCTCCCCATGTTTTCTTCGAGTATGTTTATCTGTTCCTAATAATCCTGGGTGTCCGTCCAGTGATACTGAGTATGAGACCATCTGTGTGAATCTGTGATGAGTGAGTGTATCTGTCTGGAAGTCTGCACTTTGGGGCACCTGGACCCTGATGCTGCATACATGTTTGCTCAATGGTGTGTATGTATGATCATAGTTGCAGACATCTGGATGCTTAATTATTTAACACCCGCAAGGGTTTCCAGATCGAAAGGTCTAGCATGAGAGAGGTGGAGGAGCTAAAAATGGGAGGGTACAGGGTGGAAGAGAGAAGAGGAAAGAGAAGGGGGAAGGAGGAAAAAGGAGTGGAAGTGAGGGAAGCACAGGAAAAAAATCAGAAAGTAGAAGGGAGTTCCAGGGATCTGAAATAAAGAGGCTCACAGCAAGGGCACACATGAGAAGCTATGGGTAGGGTTCCTTTCCCGAGCCTTGCCTTGCTGTGTGACCTTGACAATGCCAGCTCTCTGGGCCTCAGTTTACCACCAGAGTTGAAATAGATAACCTTTGGATACATTCCAAAGAAGGAGAAAAGGAGAAAAATGGAAATAAGAACACATGTGGGGAAAAACGAGAAAGAGAAATAAATAGGAGAGAGACATAGGAAGACAGTCACAAGAGAGGCCCTGGGAGTCTGCCAGAGTGGAACAGAGAGAGCCCTACCCAGACTCCTTGAGGCAGGAGTGTGGGCACCCGCTCCCCACCCCCTTACCCAAGCTTCAGAGTGTCCTTAAGCCCTTAATAGGCAAGGCAGGAAGGTGGAAGGGAGAAAGGCTCCTGGAAAGAGTCACACACCAACACTCAGAAGCCTGCCTGCCAAAGCCACACAAACCAGGATCCATGCTTCCGGCCCCCAGCCCCCAGATGTAGGTGTGCCAGACACCTGGAATGACTCACACCTTGGCGATGTGGGCACACAATGCCAAAAGCGAGCCTGGGCACCCTGCCCACCCTCACACCACAGGCAGTGCGGACGGAGAGGCTGGGGCTTTTCGGGGGCTGACCGAGGGCTCACCTCCCCATACCTTGCTACCTTACCCCCAAGGCGCCCCCTAGAAACCGCCTCCTCGGCTTGAGGACCTCAGGTGTCCTTTCCTCCCCCATCACTTCCTCCCCCAAACCTTACCTGGGAAGCGGGAGAACCAGATGAGGTGTTGCGCAAGGCCTGATGTTTACCTCCCGCAGGGCCTCCTCCCTCCCTATAAAGCCTGACGTGGTGGGGAGATTGGCGGAGCCAGAGACTGGTTGAAGAGGGAGGCCATCCCGGGAGAGGGGCAGAAGCGCGTCGGAAAGTTAATGCGGGAGGCGGAGAGAGGGGCAGCGACTCAGCAAGCAGCCGGGGGCGGCCGCCATCTGCGCGCTCGCAGGCGCCGGCGGGGGTCGCGCAAGGGACGGCACCCGGGCGCCGGCTCCCCATGGAGGCGCCCGAGCTGGGCCCGGGGCTGGTGGAGCGTCTGGAGCAGCTGGCGACGTGCCCGCTGTGCGGGGGCCCCTTCGAGGACCCAGTGCTCCTGGCGTGCGAGCACAGCTTCTGCCGCGCGTGCCTGGCCCGCCGCTGGGGGGCCCCGCCGGCGCCCGGCACCGAGGCGTCCCCCACCGCCTGCCCCTGCTGCGGCCGGCCGTGCCCCCGCCGCAGCCTGAGGTCCAACGTGCGGCTGGCGGTGGAGGTGCGCATCAGCCGCGGGCTGCGGGAGAAGCTGGCCGAGCCCGGCGCCCGCACCGGGAGACGCCGAGGGGGCCGCATCCCCACCATGGGCTGCCTGGACCCGCAGGAGGAGGTAAGAAGGGGCGCTTTCCGGGGTCCGCAGCCGTGGGAGGAAGGGGGAGATTCGTGGGCGCCCCGGGGCAGACGTGATACCTGCTGGTGAAGTTTCGCCCAAGGACGGCGCTGAGAAAAGCAAAGGTCGAAGGGGCGGGACTGCCCACGAGTCCTCACTGTGAAGTGAGGGGTGCCAGGGAGGACGCGGGGAGAGGCTGGCTCTGCTGGGGGGCGGGGGCGAGGGCGGGGGGGGGGGAGAGGCTGCTGCACGCGCATCTGTCTCGTGAGAGAAGCTGGGGAGAAGAGGGTGGGAGGCAGAGAAGGGGCTGCGGCCCTGGACTGGCCGCGAGGGTCCCCCTGGGGCCCCTCGAGCCTGCGAAGTTCAGGAGCCTGGAGGGAGGCCCCTGGGTGCACAGGAGGAGACCTGGCGGGGGGCGGGGGGGGCGGGGAAGGGAGCTGGCGTTGGGGAGAGGGACGGGAGGGTAAGGGGAGCGGAGTGGGAAGCTGACAGGAGTGGGGGTGGGGAAAAGGGGGATCGGGGCGCGAGGAGGCGCTGGGAGCCTGGGGATGGTGCGGGAGATCAGAGCTACCCGGCTCCGAGCACCCGAGAGCGCGCGCGGAGAAAAAGCAGAAGTGGAGGGGCGGGGAAGGCGGGGCTGTCAAAAAAGGGAGAAAGGGGAGGAAATCCGAATGCCCGTGTAGCTTCTTGGGGTTAGTTCCCGGGCTGCGGCTCTCGCCGAGTTGTATGTTGTTGGTTACTGTCCTCAGCTCCTCCCAAGGCCCCGGGTAGGGGCGGTGATGGCTGGAGGTGAGGTGCGAGGGAGCAACCGGCATCTGGCGGCTCTCTGCACCCCAGCCTTTTCATCCCTCCACCCCCCACCTCACCCCCAGCGCCCGTCAGGAGCCTCCAATTCCTTGGCCATCAACCAACCCCATTCCCTTGCGGGACCCCCAGGCATCCGGGATTCCTGACTGGATTCTCCCCAGCAGCCAAGCCGGTCTCTGGTCTTGCTTCCACCCTTTGAAGTCCACATAGATCTAATTAGTCTAGGTGTAATTGGCATAATTAGGCAAGTTGCCTTTCCTCTCATCACCCTACTGGTCTGCTTCAGTCACTCCCACTGGACAGTGAAGGGGGAAGGGGGGGAACCCTAATCTCTGAAGGGAAATATCCGGCGCCCTCTCCTGGCTCCCAAGGTACCCTGCCAGCAGTTGGGCCTCTTGGCACGCATCCAAGTCCAGTTGCCTCCTTGGCGGGGGAAGAGACACACAAAACAAAGGGCCCAATAAACGCCACCGGGCTTTTATGGCAGGAGGGGAAGCAGTTTTATTATAAGGCTTTTATATACCAACTCTTAGCCCAAGGGTCTGGGTATGTGTTTGGTCTGTGTCATGGGGTGGGGGGAGCTGTTTGTCTGGGGTAAACCCTCAGAAAGGCTGATAAGGATAGGGGTGAGTGGAAGAGAGAATGGGGTTAGGGGTAGGGAGTGGGGAAGAAGGAGAAGGCAAGGAACCAGGGGCAAGAAAAGGGCTTGGATGAGATTGGAGAAGGGGAAGGAAGAGCTCTTGGGAACGGGGAAGGGGGGAGGATAGTGGCATGGAATTAGGATGAAGATAAAGTGGTGTAGAGGAAGGAAGGTCAGGAAAGGGGATGGGGAGAATGAGAGGAAAAACACCAGGGATAAAGGGTAAGATGGCTCTGAGAGGTGGGAAGAGAAGTCACCAGGTCAGACCCAGCTCACCTGAGGCAGGAGGAGAGAGGGACAGCATGACACCCAGCACTCACATCCATGTTTTCTTCTCCCCACCCAGGATATAAGGAAGACATGGAGAAGGTGAGTTACTTTTACTGTCCCTCCCCTTCTTCCACCTGCCACATCCATCACCTTTTCACGGGCCCATAGCTTTGTCCCCGCTCACAGACAGGTTTTATGGGCGAGGTCTCACCCCTCCCTGCTCCAGAGTTGTGAGTGGGGTAAGGGTCAGGGCATCAGAGGGTATCTACCAGTTTCCTGACCCTTCTTCCTCATCTGTCCAGATTTGATGCCCCAACACCCAAGACATCTAACACAGAGGATGATCTCCCTGAAGATTACCCAGTGGTCAAAAACATGCTTCATAGACTGACAGGTAAAGAGGGTAGAAGGGAGGGAATGGAATGCAGAGTCTTAGGTTTGCTGCCTTTTAAAAAAAATTTTTTAAAAAGATTTATTTATTTATGCATACAAGAGCTGGGGTACAGGCCAGAGATGTGGGGGGCGGGAGGGAGGGTGAGAGTATTCACCAGAGACAGAGTGGGGAACAGAACAGGCAGATTGACTGAAATACACTGCTGAGGGGAGCAGCAGGTGAGACAGGGGAGGTCTGCTTCACCATGTGGGTAGCTCCCTGGCCGGCTGGGTATAGAACTTGTGCTTCAGAGGCTGTGGATTCCTTCATAGAGTGGTGCTTAACCCCTTGCGCCACCAGGGAGTCCCAGGTTTGCTGCCTTTTTATGTTCTAGAGATAAAAGTCCAAAACCAAGTTCCTTCTAAGGGCTGTGAGGGAGAATGGGCTCTGTGACTCTAATTTGTCTTGTAGCCTCAGGCATTCCTTGGCCTCCAGGTGCCATTCTCCCTGTGTCTTAACACCCTCCTCCTCCTCTGTATACATTTATCTCTGGGTCCAAATTTCCCCCCTTTAAAAGAATACCATTCTTGGGCCTCCCTGGTGGCGCAGGTGGTTGAGCGCAGCACTGTGAAGCTGTCCGCAGCCTCTGCAGCGCGGGTTCAATCCCAGCTGGCAGGGGAGAATCCCACATGGGGGAGAATCCCACATGGTGCAGTAGGCCTCTCCTCCCCTTCTACTCCCCTCAGCAGTGTATTTCAGTCAGTCTGCTGTTCTGTTCCCCGCTCTGTCTCTGGTGAATCCTCTCACCCTCCCGCGCATCTGGCCTGTACCCCGGTTCTTGTATGAATAAATCTTAAAAAAAAAAAAAAAGAATACCATTCATGTTGGACAGACTAGGGTCCATCCTAATCACTTCATTCCAACTTGATTACATCTGTAAAGATCTTCCAAGTAAGGTCAAATGGTGCTGGGGGAGTGCAACATCTTTTGGTGGTGGTGGTGGGGGGAACACAATTCAACCCCTAACAATGTCTGTCTTCCATTTGTCATATTTCAGCCATTCCTCCTCTTAATTTTTCATTCACTCATACACACTGCCTCTAACTTTAACAGACTCCTGGAGGTCAGCTGCCCCTCAAGTATTTCTGTTTGCACCAATTCTCATCGTTCTTCTCTAGAAGGTTCCCAGGACTCCTGAATCTCCCCGCCCGTCTCTGGGCCTTCTCTGCAGCTCCTGCAGAGTTCCCTCCTCCATCGCTCCCAAGGTTGCTCTCCACCCTTCTTTAAACTGCCCAGAGAAGATGTTTCACCTTCTTGGTCACCCGCCATCCCACCCAACCTAGACAACTTGTGGCACCCTTAGTACAGTCTTTCCTCAAGTACCCCAATAACCCCAATAATTTCTTCTGGTCCTTGCAGCTATCACCATTTCTTGTTTCTCTGCCCCACCCTCCTTATAGAAATGGGCCTGTCCGCTCCCTCCTATTCTTGTGGGTGAATGGGCTGGTTTCTCCGGATGCATAGGCTTCCTCTCTGTCCCTTGGGGTTCAGTATCTGGTATCAGTCTTTCTCTTTAGGTTCACCTCCCCATCCTGCTGACCCAGCTCCCAAGCTCCACCCCAGATACTGCAGATTGAGATATCAGGCTCCACTCCTCCCTAAAAGTCAGATCAGCTTCACCCTTTCTCCTCAACTCCACAAAGCAGTCAGCCTCGCAATTGATCTCTGCCCTCTGCCCCTGCCCTGGGCCAGAGGGTCCTTCTCTAAGTCCAAGTCTACAGGAGATAGTGGTGCATGGGTCGTGCCCAGTCCTGCCCTTCGTGGCCTTCACTTTCTTTGGGTCTACTGGCGGCCTTCGGAGCCGCAGTGAGGCCTCTTACACGCTCTCCACTGCGCTTCCCCCTTCCCTTCCCGCCTCTGTCTCGGAAATCTCTCTCATGGGGTCCTGTCGCTGCCTTCCTCTCTCCAGCCGACCTGACCCTGGACCCCGGCACCGCACACCGCCGCCTGCTCATCTCCCCGGACCGCCGCAGTGTCAGCCTGGCGCCCCCAGGGACACCCGCGCCCCCTGACGGCCCCGCGCGCTTCGATCAGCTGCCGGCGGTGCTGGGCGCGCAGGGCTTCCGGGCCGGCCGCCACTGCTGGGAGGTGGAGACGTCGGAGGCCGCCTCCTGTGGAAACTCGTCTGGGGAAGAGGAGGACGATGGCGAGAGCCGTTACGCCGTGGGCGCGGCCGGGGAGTCGGTGCAACGCAAGGGCCGCGTGGGGCTGTGCCCCGCAGGGGCCGTGTGGGCCGTGGAGGGCCGCGGGGGCCGCCTGTGGGCGCTCACGGCGCCGGAGCCCACCCCGCTGGGCAACGCCGGGCCCCCACCGCGGCGCATTCGCGTGGACTTGGACTGGGAGCGGGGCCGCGTGGCCTTCTACGACGGCCGCTCGCTGGACTTGCTGTTCGCCTTCCAGGCGCCCGGGCCCCTGGGGGAGCGCGTGTTCCCGCTACTGTGCACGCGCGACTCCCGCGCCCCGCTCCGCATAGTGCCCGCGGAAGGTTGATACTCAGCTGCCCCTCTCCGTTCCCACCCCCCATCTGGTCTGGCCTGCGTGGAGGATGCTTTCTCTTGGACACAGAAAGCCCGCTCATTCCAGGGATCATGTCCCCAGGCCCAGTGGGGAGTACCAATGAGCACCCACCCCCTCTGTCTCTTTTCTCTCCCAAAGTGTTAAGAACCCAACTGCCTCCTTTCCATATCCAGTACCAAAGCCCAATTTATTCCTGTTGCCGCCCTCTTGAGCCGCTTCTCCCGTACAACCCGGCACTAACAAATCGACCCTGGCCTTCTACCTTAAGCTATTCCAGGTCTCAATTTGGGAAAGGCCCTGCCCCATCAGTATTGGTAAATGGCCCAGGCTTACTACTAGAGGCCCTGCTAGTTATTTACCTCCCATCTATACCTTTCCTGGTCTCAAAGGGTCCAATGCTTTTCCCAAGGGCTGACTTGGCTTCCCTGCCCTGTCCATGCTGAGGGTTTTCCTCAAGAGAAGCAAAAGCCTCTTCCTAAATCAAACCAAACCAAACCAAAAACCAAGAGAATTGACCCTGGCCTTGGTGTTCGGGCCCTGTAGGAAACTTAATGTCCTTTGCAGGTGAATTCTACTTCACCCTCTTCTCTATGTCTATAGCCTTTTCCCATTAAAAACTTAAAACTCCCTTTTGCACATATTCATAGTAAGGAACCAATGGTGCTACCTCTTCTTTCCTCAACCTGGGAATCATCTGGACACCCCAAATTCATCCCTGTACATAACCTCACCTCTTTCCCCATATGTATAAATGGGTCCATATTTAACACATTTTGTGATGTTGGGTTATTTATTTTGTGCATCTGTGGCAATAAATGAGATCTCAGTGGTGATACGGATTGATTGATCTCTGCAATTATGCATGGCAAGAGGCCTGGAGAACATTCTGATCCCAGTAAGAGGGGAAGGCTGGACATCTGCGCTGGCAGAGGTGTCAAAAGTTTAGGAAGGTAGGGGTAAGAGTTAGTAGGGGATATACCCCTATCACTGCTCCCTCTCTTTCCTTCCCTCTCCCAAAGACTCAGGCCCCTGGAACTGTATTGGATCTATTTCCAAAGTTGGAAGACAAAGACTGAGTTGGCACTAAGTGACCCGTCTTGAAGCCAGCTCTGTCAGAAATCCTAGATCACATGATAGAAGTTTCATGATTTTCTAGTTTCCATTAATGGTGAGAATGACAAAGACCTCTCTTCCCTAACTCCTCTTGAGGGCACAAGGAGATGGGCAGGAGGGGCAGGGGAAGTCTGGGAACCCTGAGGTCTCCCATAAGACCTCCCATTCCTCAGGCAAGGAGTAAGAGTTAGGATTATATAAATACATTAGTAGAAGAGCTCTAAGCCAGGAAAAACAAGCATAGCTGTGGCAAGATTGCCTGGAATCTGACTGGGACCCTGGCAGTGAAGGCTGGAGCTATTGGAAACTCAATCTAAGTGTTTGAGACTCAAGTAGAGAGAGCAGGGGGCCAAGATAAGTGGATCCCAGGACAGGCAGTTTGGCAGTGAAAACGAAGGGAAGAGACCGGGACCAAGGTGCTTGGACCCTGGAGAGAGAAGGATGAATACCGGAGAAATGAGAGCTGGGAGAACCCAGAAGTGTGGGTTGTAGAATAGCAGCAAGTCAGAATTCCAGGATCTCTGGTTACCCTCTTCTACCCTCCTCCCCCTTCCATCTATCAGGCAGAGGAGACAGGAGCAGGGCTTGGAGAAGGGATCAATCTATGGGTTTAGTCCTTAAGTAGCCACATGGATACATTCAGGGCCAGCCGGACACAGGAATGGTAGGGATGAGAGGAATTTAGTGCTGCATTGGCCCTGGTGGGGGCTGGGAAGGGTCAGGGGGCTGTGGAGGGGTGGTGGGGGTCGGTTCGGGAGTTGAATGACGCCGTCCTTTGCGGTGGCCCCGTACACAGTGAGTATGACCACAGCCCTCCTCTTCCTCCTCATCACTCTCCGTGGAGCTCTCGCCAAAGGCCCGAGGTTTCTCATAAATACAGCAGCCTGGATGTAGAGGGAGGAGTCCAGTTAGAGAGGGAGAAGAATAGATGTAGAGTCAGTTCCATTCTCATAGATCTCATTCCAAATTCTTACTTCCATCATTGTTTTCTACTTTCCAGGAGTCCCCAGGCCTCCAGAAGTCCCCTGGTACTCAGGCATCCCAACCCTGTCTTTTTGGAGAGTCAGGGATCCAAAGTTCCAATTCTCTCACCTCTGGTACCTCTTGCCTTCTGACCCTGGCACATCCTAATTCTTTCCCTGTAACTCTGATCTCCTCCCCTAGTTGCCAGAGAACCACCAAAACAGTGACAGGACTGGGAGCCTCTGGGGGCTTCAGGAAGGGCAGTGCCAGGACATGTGTGAAGGAAGAAGGAATGCAGTATGCAGAGGGTAACCAGAACTGCAGGATTACTAAGAAATACTCACATTTTGATGAACGGCGCCCCATATGTTCATTATCCACAGTGTCACTCGTCCATTCCACTTTCTTCTCTGGTTTCCGTTTCCGAAGTTTGATGGTTAGGCTCCGGTTCTCCTGGAAGTTACAGTAAGAGGGATGAGCATTCCCTTGTAATTCCTTTCTATTGACTTCTCCTACTCCCTCCCAGGGGCCTCCTCTCTTCCCTTCCCCAGCTCAATCAGTATCACAGACACAGCACCAAAAGAGCTGAGTTTGGGGAGCAAATAAAGTAGAACAGATCTTTGACCTCAGGGAGTCCCTTGAGCAATCATGAATAATTATTTCCTGTTCTTGGGCCTCTGGTGGCGCAAGGGGTTAAGACACAACCTATGAAGCTATCTGCAGCTACTGTGGCAGGAGTTTAATCCCCGGCCAGGGGGCTACCTGCATGGTGCAGGGGACCGCTCTTGTCTCACCCACTGCTCCCCTCAGTAGTGTATTTCAATCTGCCTGTTCTATTCCCCACTGTCTCTGGTGAATCCTCTAACCCCCGCACGTCTGGCCTGTACCCCAGTTCTTGTATGCATAAATAAATCTTTTTTAAAAAATTATTTCCTGTTCTTGATGACGACTAATATACAGAAAAGACACAATTCCTAACCTAGGGAAGCAAATCTTTAAAGGAAAATAAAATCCTCGCTGGCTCTCCATCTTCCTCCCCAAATCATCCTTAATGGTATTAATATATGAAAGTTATTTTCTCAGTCCCCAATGCCTAATCTTTGATGTTTCTTTTTTTTTCCAGATCACCTATTCTTTTTCCATTAAAGAGAGAACTCTTCTCTCACTCAAGCCTAGCCCCTCCCCCATCCACCTATTCCTAGCATCCTATCTCTGGTAACTATTGTTATAAACTCCCTTAATCCAGATGCTATAAAACCCAAAACTACCTTCCCTTCTCTCTTTGATAGGAACCTAACCTTTTATTTTTTTCCCGAAAATTCTATACTTTTCTGTATTTCTCAAAATGTCATCTTCATCTCCATTTTTTGTCCCTCCCCCCCCCCACTTCCTTTCATTCATTCCTTGAAGAGATATTTATTGGTAAGTTTCTGGTTAAATTGCCCTACTGCCGGCCTTCAAACATGCTTTCTTACATAGCCTTATTTTCCTCTATCACCTCCCTAGTTCCCCAATCCCCGAGTTCCCATTCCTTCATCACTTATACACACCACCGCTGCAACAGCATCACCTACATCCTCTACTTCAAGCCGCTCGACCAGACTTCTGCACAATCTCTGCTACTCCAACTATCTTCAAGAACTTGCGATTCTCCCAAACCCAATTCCTCAATGCCGCCCCGCCCGCATCCCCCGGCCCAGCCCTGCGGCAACTCTCCGAAACCCTGTCCCCTCCCTCCCAGTCACCCAGACCCCTACGCAGCACCACCCCCCGCCTTTCTCACGGGTTCGGTTGTCACGGTAACTGTTGTCTCAGTGACGGTCTCACTCAGCCCAGCCCCTGCCTCGGCCATGGCTGAGGCTGAGGAGAGGCAAGGTGGGGAGGAAGTGGGATGAGAGACTCTTCTCTTTTTCAGTGCCCCTGGGACTAAGAGAATCGGTATCGGATTCAGAATAACAGTCAGGAGCCTCGGCCTTCTTTTTCCCCCTCCTCCTGGGCCTGCGCTTCCCCACCCCTGAGGATAACCTGTCCAACCCCACTTCCGACTCTCAACTTCCGGGTGTGACGCAGTCTGTGGTCCCCGTTTTCACTTCCCGGGTACTACCTGCGTCACAACGCGGGCGTCACGGGATTAGTTCCGCAGTGGTGTGCCAGTGCGCAGGCGCCGCAAGAGCGCGCCGCAAGCTTGGCGGAAGAGGCTTCCCCGCGCGTGGGGAGGAGGGGCGGCCTGGGGCGGCCTGGGGCGGCGCGCGCACGGGCAACCGAGGGCAAGGAGGGGTCGGTCGGTCGGAGCGAGCCGGAGCGGCTGCGGCGGAGGGGTGTGGCTCGGCGCTCAGCGGCGTGGGGGGAGATGGGGGTTTGCAGCACCTAGCTCAGCTATGCGTGGCTGAGCCCTTCCCCGCCGATTTTTATCCCTTTGTGGGAGGACGTGGAAAACTAAGGAGCAGCAGTAATGACCTTATAGTAACCCACTCGCGTTTCCTTCTTTCGTTTGGGATGAGAGAAGCGGGACCTAGAACAGTTGTTGGCGTTTGAGCGGGTTTCTTCATGTACCTTCAGTTTGGATTTTTCTCCTGTCACTGTGCTAAGCATTGAAGAGGAAGGAGCATAAAACGCAGATCCTGCCTTTTAGCTCCCATCGTAGTAGGAAAGATTGGTATGCTTAGAACAAAAATATAAACCATTGGGATACTAACATTGAAGTAAATCGCAACTATGAAATTGGATTTAGTTACGTTCTGCAAACATACTTTTATGGAGTGGAGATAATATGAAGTAAATGAAAGGTCATAAATTGGCCAATTTATGCTTTGATAGAAAATGTGTTTCTCAGGGTGCAAGTGAGTAAAAATGAGAACCAGAAGCAACAAATGTTATATATATTTTAGGTAGCTTGTAACGTATTGCGTGCACTGATGGAAATGCAGTTTTGTACAGCTGGAATATAAGATGCCAAACGAGGCAACAGATAGCTGTGGTTATATAGTTCTGTAGACTTTGCTAAGAAAGTTGAGTTTTATCCAGTCAGTGTTAATGGGCAGTGAAAGGCTTAAAGGATAGACGCATGAACAGATTTGTTTCATGTTTCAGGAGTGGGACTACAAAGTCAACTGCCAGCACAGTTCAAATGTACTGTGGAAAAGGCTGCCTATCCCTCCAAATTGCTGAGGGTCAGAGAGAAGTTTGCTTGAGAACTCAATGCATAATGGATCACACAATTACAATCATTACTGTCCTACCTTGATCACCATTTAAGCCAAGAAATGCGGGAGTAGATTTCCAAACGCAAACTTTAATGTTTCTTGGCCTGGACTACATATATTTCCCTTTCAGGTTTTTGGTTCACAAGATACAACCCAGCATGTATCAGTGTAGCCCATTAAAAGAACAAGTATCTCCATGGAGTGGGAGTTCTTGATTTTTACTTTTTCAACCTTTCTACATACATTTCTACATACATTTCAATGAATATAAATATTTATCTTGAGCAATTAAAACAAATATATATATATCCAAAATGTCACATGTAGTAAGTACTTACTAGTCCTTGGTATCAAAATTTGTTGATGTAAATTTGTTGTATGTAAATTTGGACAAATTTACATATCAAATAGAGCTAGTTAAATTATCTGTTGAATCTCTTAGTAAGCAAACTCCCACTTTTTATTTCCCTAAAACTCAGGCACCAAATAGATTTAGACAGGGGTGTATGGATAAGCTTTTTTTTTAATATTGGTTTATTCTTGGCTCCATTTTTTCGTACTTGTGTTATTCTTTCTCATGTACTAATTTATATTATACTTTTGTACTTGATATATTGGTTGACAAAAGAAATACATCCCTGTAAGCTCATTTAAATTCCTTTTGGAACAAGACCTACTGTAAGTAACATATAAATGCCTGGGTCTTAAGAAAAAATATAACTTTTTTATTGAAGTAACAATGTATTATATAATAGGTGTGAAAATATAACTTTGATAAGGAAATTTAATTAGGAGTGGGAGTCCTCTGAGGACAGCTGATATTGCCCATACGATGATCTGCTTCCTCTGGGGAGCAAAACATTGCAACCAGGAGGCAGACAAGGTATCTAAGAACCCAATACCCTCTACCTTCTAAGGAAGGCTAAATTGTTGAGTCATCCAAAGAAAGAATCAAGAGTCTTCCTTCTCCTGGAACCTATGGAGAAATAAAGGACTTGTTATATTTGATCAAAGAAAGAGGTTCTAGCAATGTAAAATGGGATTCTCAAATAACCAAAGAAGGACTTTTACTTATGCTAATGTGAAGTACTAGCTGCCCTGAATCTTCCTTCAAGACAACTGAAAATGGTGGGATTAAAAATATACCTAACAAATTATGAACTATGCAAAGATTTATTAGGACACAAAAGAAAAAAAATGATAAATTAGACCACATAAAAATGTAAAACTTCTTTAAAAAGTAAGTAAGACTGGGGGAAAAAGGTAGCCTCCCTGGTGGTGCAAGGAAGTCTCAGCACTAGGAAGCTATTGGCAGCCACTGCGGCACAAAGTCCTATCCCCTGCCAGGGAGCTGACCCACTTTACGGAGTAGACCTCTCCTGTCTCACCCCTATTCCCCTCAGCAGTATATTTCAGTCAATCCACTTGTTCTGCTTCCCACTCTGTCTCAAGTGAATCCTTTCACCTCCCCCTCTACAACTCTGGCCTACACCCTAGGTCTCACATGCATCAATAAATCTTTAAAAAAAAAAAAAGGCTGAAAAAAAATACTCTCAAAAGACTTATGTACCTATAAATATTTCTAGTCTATTGCTGAGGTGGGAAAAAAAAAAAGATTGTAAAGGCAATCTTTACATTAGATAAAATGATGATAAAACCAAGAATCTAGACAGGTAAGTTAAAACTGAAGTCCCTGCTTCTATGGTACCCTTGCTCTCTTGACAAACACATGAAGAAACCAGAGATAAATCTCTGATGAAAAAAAAAAAATCTCCCCGGAGAATTTCTAACCATAAGCCCAAATTCGTACTACCTATGTGCTCCAAAAACTCTAAAGCCAAGAAGTTAATGTAATAACTCAAGGCACCTGAATGGAAAACACAAGTGCTGAGAAAACATTTCACCATAAGCCTCTAAGAACTCCTAGTATTCAGATTTTTTTTTAATCAAAGTTTATAGTTAAAATTCACAAAAGAAGGGAAAAAACCGCCATGAAAGCAGAAATAGCAGACAGCAATATGAGACCCACAAAAACCTGTGGGTATCGGTATTATCACTATATAAATATCCATGTTTAAAAAAGTTAGTTACATGTAATACATATTTTAACAATAAGAGGAAAAATTTATGATTAAAGAATTGAGAATTATTTAAAATGATGAGATATGAACTAAAAAAAATTAAAGACTTGCTATATTTGATCATTATTATTTGAAATAATCTAAAGACAGAATTAATGGCCTGGTAGAGAAATCTTAAGTATTTTTTTAAATATTTATGTATTTATGCATACAAGAGCTGGGGTTTAGGCCAGAGGTAGGAGGGTAGGATTCACCAGAGACAAAGTGGGGCTCAGAACAGGCAGATCTACTTAAATACACTGTTAAGGGGAGGAGCGGGCAAGACAGGAGAGGTCTGCTGTGGCATGTGGGTCACCTCCCTGGCCAGGGATTGAACTCGTGCTACAGAGGCTGCAGATAGCTTCATAGTGCTGTGCTTAACCCCTTGCCACCAAGGAGGTCCCGAAATCTTAATTATCCAAAGAAAACATAAAGATATAAAAGATTGAAAACAGTAAAGACAAGGTGAGCAAAAATGGAAGATAGTTCTATTTAATCAGAGTTCCAGAATGTGAGAATTGAGAAGATGGAAGGGCAAGTTCTATGAGATAATGGTTGTTAATTTTCCAAGGTTGATGAAAAAACCACCAACAACTGCTCAATTTTAAAAGTCCAACAGGGCCTCCCTGGTGCCTCAAGAGGTTAAGCGTCAGCACTACGAAGCTATCCGCACCTATTGCAGCACAAGTTCGCAGCAGACCTCTCCTGTCTTGCCCGATGCGCCCCTCAGCAGTATATTTCAGTAGATCTGCCTGTTTGGAGCCCCATTCTGTCTCTGGTGACTCCTTCCCCACCCCACACCTCTGGCCTGCACCCCAGCTCTTGTATGCATAAATATATCCTTTTAAAAAGCCTAGCAAATCCTAAAAAGGATAAACAAAGCCAATAAATAAAGAATAAATAAAGCCACCTCTTGACATATAGTAGTGAAACTGCCTAACACCGAAATGCAGAAAGCTCATGTTCTTTTTAACAAGTCAATTCTCACCAAAAACTACTACTGAGTGCACTGGAAGATTCCAGCACATCATGTTGACTACTAAGCAACATTCGCCTTCTGTATTTTTCCATCTCCTTTGAAATATCTTTAAAGGTTTTTAATTCAGTTATAAAAAGAATGTGCAGTTTTTAACAATAAAACTACCACCAATCTGGACTGTGCAGAAATGAGGGATGGGACTAAAAGAAAGTTTATTCAATACAAAAAGTAAGTCACTGGGTTTTCTAGTTGGTAAACTGAGAAAAAGGCAGAGAGCAAGGAAAGGATACGCACTTGCAGTTGGTACAGGTGTAGAACACAGTCTGCCCTTCATCAGCTGAGCGCATCTGTCTGGTGTGGTAGGCCATCCCCTCATGACCGCATCGAGAACAGCGCCTGTCAACCTGAGAAACAACTTGTGGATTAGGGAGGCCTGGTTAATCCTCCTCAGTTATCACAGGAATCACGCATTCACGCTCTTTAAACACTATGGCTCGAAGATGCCCCTTGGAATTGGGCACACACCTCTCCAGATCTCAGCAATCGCCACTTCATTTACCTGCCAACTAATGGGGCGAGTCCATGACGTTATTAACTTACCACGGGTCCCTGGAACTCAGGTCCTTCCTCCATCGACGTAGGTATAGCGGTACCCAGTTTGTTGAACACAAATGAGGTCTTCACAACCTTCCCTTCGAAGTCTGCGCGTGCAGTAAAAATTGGTTGTGCACACAAGCGACGGGAATGGGCACCCCCAATT